AAAAAAAAAATAAAAAAAAAATAAAAAAATAAAAATAAATAAATAAATAAATAAATAAATGCAGAGATCTGGATTCAACCTCAACCCACGGAGCCAGAATCTCTGGAGGATGAGGCCGAGGACTGAATGGGTTTTCAATCTACCAAGCAGATGCGATAGCCAGTCAGGGGCAGGGACTGAGAGAGGAGGAGAGTGAGATCAGGAAGGGGAAGTGACACAGTCCCTGAGGTGAGGTATGTCTGGAAAGCACAAGCAGAACCCAAGGACCAGAGGCCTGTTCCCTGTATGTGGCCGGGGGCTGGCGGCATAGACGTGTCTGCAAGCGCTCAACTCACCTGCGCCCCGAGACAATGCAGAGAACATTCACAGACCTGGGGTCCCTGAGGCCCATCCGTTCTCACACACAACCATCTTCCCAGAGATCACAGACCCCCCGTGAGCCATCATGAGGCCCACCAAAGCCTCAGCATGGCAGAGAGGGGCAGGGAAGCCCCAGCTGTGCAGCTGTGAGGGGAGCCGCCAGCAGCTGACCCAGCTGGGCCCTTCATACGAGGTCTCCCGCCCCAGCCCAGTTCCTGCCTCCAAGGCACGCGCACACAGGTACACGCATGCGCACACAGACGCGCACGCACGCACACACCTCTCCCCTGCTCCAGCCCGGGACCTCACCCAGCACTCGGGCGATGAGGCAGAAGAGCAGGGTGCTGATGACAAAGGTCCAATTCCAGTGGTGGGACCCGGCCACAGTGGAGACGCCAAGGAAGATGAAAATGAGGGTCTCACTGACGCTGCTCCACATCTTCAGGAAATACTTGATGGTCGTGTGGGACTTGTGGGAGATGTTGGCCTCCACGTAGGGGCGCATCACCACTCCTGAGGCGATGAGCCTGAGGCCAGGGAAGAGCAGAGTTCAGGGCTCAGTGGATCTGCACCTTCCCAGAGCCCCTCCATGGCTGGGGAGGCGGACAGGTGCCCCTGACAGGTCAGAACCTGCTGCGGGTTCTACATAACTTTTTTATCTCCATCCTCACACTCAATCCTCCAGACGTGGGCAGATGAAGGATGTGGGAGGCAGAGAGATTGTTGCCCGTCCACTGTCACCCTGCCAGTGAGCTAAGATGCAAACTAAAGTCTGCCCAACTCTAAAGCCTGTGCCTCCCCCATTGCTGCCCCGCCCCAGCCATGCTGCCGTCCAACAGGAGTCAGTTACACATGTCCATGGCCTTGCTTTATTCCCCCTGAGCACAGTGTCTCTCCTGCATGGAGGTCCCCCTACGCAGCTCTGTCCCAGGCACCTAACCCAGCCCTCCCTGCATGGCGTCCATACCTGGCTCTGCTTCTGCTGGCCCGGCCTCCTCAAGGTTACCCCGAATCCGAGGGGATCGGGAGGGAGACAGACCATAAGAAACTCGTAATCTCACAAAACAAACTGAGGGTTGCTGAGGGGTGGGGGAGTAGGGAGGGTGGCTGGGTGACGGACATTGGGGAGGGTATGTGCTATGGTGAGTGCTGTGAAATGTGTAAATAAGTCTAATGGTTCACAGACCTATACCCCTGGGGCAATAATACACTACATGTTAATAAAAAGAAGTAAATAAAAAGAAAAGGAAAAGTTGGAATGAAAAAAATTAAAATTTAAAAATTTAAAAATTTTTTAAAAGGTTACCCCCATATCCCCCAATCTGGCCTGCCTTGTATTTCCAATGTGTTCCCCTACTGGGCAAACCTTTGCATCTCACTGCCTCTCCACAGTCCCTAGATTTCAAGACCTGGCTGAGGCCCCAGGACCTTCAGGAATCCTCATGGCAATGGAGGTGCCAGGCCTCCTTGCTGGGGCTGAGGAAGGGCACAGTGAATGTGAGAGCCTGTGTCTAGCTACAACCAAGGAACTCCCTTCGAAGCAAAAAGTAGCAGCGCTGAAGCTTTCCAGAACTTTAAACTCAGTGGTTCCAGGGGCAGTTGCTTGGTGCATGAGTCTCATCTCAGGGCTGGAAGCTGGGCCTGGGGAACTCCCTTGTGACCTCCCACAAGCCCAGGGAATCCAGGTTGGCACCCCTCCCCCCAGGCTGCACCCAGACTCACGCCATGATGCCTGACAGGTGGAAGAGCTCAGCTGACAGGTAGGCCATGTAGCTGTAGAGGAAGACGAACAGCGGCTCGATGACGCGGATGTGGGCCGTGAATCTGGAGGTGAAGGCTGCGATGACCCCGTAGACCACACCCACAAACACCCCGCCCAGGGACACCACGAAGAAGCTCAGGAAGCCAAGGACGATGTCCACAATGCCCACTCGGTCATAGTTGGCAAACTCCTCAAAGAGGTGATACAGGACCTGGGGAGGGGGTGTAGGCTGGTCGGCAGGAGGGCAGGGCCCTGGCTCCGCCCCCCAACCCAGCTCCCTGGGGTCCACTAGGGCTATCTCATGCCCTCCACTGAACCACGGCCACAGGAGGAGGCCACATGATAGCAGAGAACTGCAGTGCCAAGGAGGTGGTCAAAACCAGTGGCCAAGGGCCTGGAGGGCCTTGTGTCAGGACTGCAGCGCGCTGTGCGGGGTAAGAGCACATACTCTGAAGCCAAACGAGTTGGGCCAGAACTGTGGCCCTGCTGCTCCTGGCTGTCTATGTGGGACAAATTACTCTGTCTTCCTGCGCTTCACTTTTCCTCGCCATAAAATGGGATAACGGTACCAACCTTATAAGGCCACTGTGAGGATGAAACTAGTTCATCAAGGCCAAGTGCTCAGAACCAGGCCTATCACAGTGTCAGCTACCACTGGCGCTACCCAGTGGCCCCTCTCACCATTTGACTTGGGCACATCATGTCCCTGTCTGGCTTTCAGTCTCTCCTTCAGCACAAAGCAGAGAAAGTTCAGACAACAAACCAGAACAAGACTTCTTAGCTTCTGGAAATTTCTGAAAATACACAAAGCTGGGCCATACCCCCACTTGGGTTCTTTCTCGGGAGGTGGGGCCCAGAAATCTCTGATCAATAAGCTCTCCAGGTGGTTACCACCAACAGCCAAGTTCAGAGGCAGTGGAACCAGCAAAGGCGTTGAGGCTTCCCCACCTCCTGGGCTGGGAACTGTCAGTGTAGTGCTGCCACCAGATGGTCAGATGTTTCAGGGGCATGCCACACATGATAAAGCCCGTGGACAGTGGTTGTCCTGCTCGGTACACATCACGTGTGTTGCCTCATGAGGTAGGCAGGGAGCCAAAGATGCCCGCCGCTTTCCCAAACATAAGCTCAGGGAGGTGGAGTGATTTGACAAAGGGTCCCAGGCTCCGGCAGGAGCGTCAGGCCCAGAACTTGCTCCCTGGAGCAGTGGGTGGGCCCTCCTGGACGGGGGCAGCTTCGGTGTCAGCTCTCTGGCTACTGGGCCTCCTCACACACAGCTTGCCAGGAAGCCAGCTGAGGGCTTTCCAGGCTGGGGTGCTGGGAGAGAGGGGAGGGCACCTGAGACCAGGCGGCTCAGGGGCTGCCTTCAGCTTTAATGTCGGGAAACAGGGCACTTGCCTTCATGCCCAGAGCTCTAGAGAGGGCCTGATGTGGGCCAAGCAAGAAGGGGAGATGCCAAGCACTGGCTGTCCCTGATGCTGCCTGGGCCATAGCTGTCTGGCAGACAGGGCAGGGCTCCAGTGGCGGGTAACAGGTGCGTTCTCAGCCCTGGGCTACCTACACTTATTCCTGGCCTGAGGAGATTCATGGGTCCCCAGGGTCCACCACGTGGACCAATGGGGCAGGTGGACGGGGCAAGGTCCTCCTTTCCCACCTGGGTGTACTGTCAAAGGGACCAGGGAGGCAGCGCAGCAGAGTGCTAAGTGTGCAGGCTGTGGACTCCCACTGTGTAGGTCACTTGCAATCGCTTACCAGCTAATGTGACCCTGGACGAGTTCCCTAACCTAGACCAGTAGCTTAGTTTCCTCGCTTGGAAAAACAGGATAATCACAGTGCCAACCTCGTGGAGTTTCTCCGTGGATTAGATGAGGCAATACGTGCTCATAGACAGGAAGTGCTCAGACAGGAAGTGAGCACGAGCAAGGACTACCAGCACGGCCGCCACCCAGGGAGGCGTGGCCATAGACCTAAGTTGGCCAAGACTGTGATACCCCCTTGACATAACCACATCTCACTGCTCCCCAGGAGGGCCAACCTGAACCCCAACACCCAGACCCATCTGGGGAGGGCTTTGTCTGTGGTACCCACTGGTGTGACTCCAGTAGGAACCCTGGGAGGATGCTGGGCTGGGTACTGCAATCCTTGTTACAGATGGAGAAACTGAGGCAAGAGCTGGTGCCAGAAGAACCAGCACTGGGGCCTGCTTGCTTAGATCAGGCTGCTGCTCTCTCAGCCCCATAAGGACCCAAGAAAGGCAGCAGGGGAGGAAGAGGAAGAGGAGAGGGGAGGAAGCTGAGGCTGCCTGCGGCAAGCCAACCACCACTGTGTCTCTTGGAAGTGTGGCTTCCTGAGGGACTCGGGGTGACTAAAGAGGGAATGTGTGTGTAAGCGTGCCCTGGCATGCACACGTGTCCTTGTGTTTCCTTACGTAAACAGCTGCTCTCTGAGGGGTCTGACTAGGAGCACGGGGGTGTTTTCACAACACGACATGAGTGTGCACATACACGTACGTGTTTCCTGAGGAAACCAGCCGGGAGGAAGGGCTTGTGTTAGCACATACGGCGTGGCCGTGTGCACACTGCGCTGGGGGCATCTGTCCTTCCTAGCCCCTGAGAGGAAAGCATGACCCACTCAGCCACTTTGCAGCTAGCAAAGCTGAGGCCCAGAGCAGTAGAGTCACTTGCCTAAGACCACATAATAACAATAACAACAATAATAAATATAATAATATTAATTAATATATTAATATAATAATAATAGTGGCCAACCTCAGGCCAATCCATTTTATTAACCACTTTCTGGAGGGTTTTGTTTGTTTGTTTGTTTTTTGTTTTTACAATAAATTTTATTTTTTTTTAAGTAGGCTCCATGCTGAACATGGGGCTGGAACTTGTGATTCGTGAGGTCGAGAGTCACATGCTCTACTGACTGAGCTGGCCAGGCGCCCTTCCTAGAGGTTTGAAGGGCAGGGTCTTTTCTACCACGGCTGCCCCTGAACTCTACACAAACTGAACTATAACTCAGGACTCAGCCAACAGGATGGCTGAACTGGCCCCCCAAGACTCAACAGCCTATGAAGGGTAAACTGAAGTCTAAAGGTGATACAGAATTTCACCAAGTTCACATCACAGTCCAAGTCAGGGACAGAGAGGGTCTGGCCTGTAAAGGCCAGGAGCTCAGGCCCTGACATCTGACAGACCTGGCTTCTAACCTTGGTCCTACCACATGTAGGACCACATGTAGCAAGTCGTCTGACTTCGGGGGCCCTGCTGCCTCCTCTGTAGAGCAAGAGTGGGAAACGCCTCCCAAGGGCACCCCGGGGACTGGAAGAGGTAGCGCATGCCGCGTGCTGAGCACGATGCCTGGCACACAGCCAGCAGGAAGGGAGATTTGCGGTTTCGCTACTGCAATGAGTGGGTGGAGGTGGGATCCAGTCTGGACCTGGATTCGGGTCTGGGCCCCTCACCACAGTGACGGCGTCGTTGAGCAGGGACTCCCCGAAGACAAGGATGTGCAGCAGCTCATTGATGTGGATCTCCTCGAAGACGGCCAGCACGGCCACGGGGTCCACGGCGGAGATGATGCTGCCGAAGAGCAGGTTGTCCAGGAGCCCGATGTTGTTGATCTGCTCGCCGCCCACCAGGCACACGGCGTACATGAGACCGCCCAGGAAGAAGGCGTTCCACAGCGTGCCCACCACGGCGAAGATCAGAATGGTGCCCAGGTTCTCCGTGAACTGCCGCAGTGGCAGGAAGTAGCCGGCGTCCAGGATGATGGGTGGCAGCAGGAAGAGGAAGAAGACGTCGGACTGCAGGAAGGGGGGCGTCTCGCCCACGCCCTTGATCAGGCCCCCGACCAGCAGCCCCACTACGATCAGCAGGCAGCTCTCCGGGACGATGCTCGAGATAGTGGGGATCACGTGGAAACCTGCGGAGGGCGAGAGAACGGGAGGCCGTGGGCTTGCGGCGAGCTGGGATGTGAGGCTGGGGACAGGGCTAGAGAGATAAGCAGCTGGTGACAGGGGCTCGGCCTCAGAGGGCCACTCTGGTAGCTCTCTGAGCCTCGGCTTCCTCACCCGTGACACGCAAATGATAATACCAGCTTCCCAGGGTTTGCTGTATACACGAAGTGACAATGTTTTTGAAGGGTTTTTTTTGTTTTGTTTTGTTTTTTTAAAGATTTTTTATTTATTTATTTGACAGACAGAGATCACAAGTAGGCAGAGAGGCAGGCAGAGAGAGAGGAAGGGAAGGAGGCTCCCTGGCAAGCAGAGAGCCTGATGTGGGGCTCGATCCCAAGACCCTGGGACCATGACCTGAGCAGAAGGCAGAGGCTTTAACCCACTGAGCCACCCAGGCGCCCCTGAAGGGTTTTTTCAAAGGCTGTACAGATTATCTCTGCCTCGGTCGTAGAGCAGTAGAAAGAAGCAGCTCTCTATGCCTCCAGAAGGCAGAGAGGAGACACTGATTACCGAGGCTCCAGGTGTCCAAAGGCATCACCTACATCTCCACTCAGACTCATGCACTCTCCTGCCGAGCCCACAGAGCTGTTCCAGAAGCCAAACAACAAGCAGTCAGTTTTGCATGTGAGACAAAACCTAGCTGCCATCTGTTTCTAGCTCAACCCTTGCCTCCACTTTAGAGATGGAGCAAATAAGGCTCCCAAAGGGGAAAGGACTTGCCCAAGGACACATAGCAAATTAGCAGAACCGGGAGGGGACCCAGATCTGACCCCCCAGCTCCCATCAAACCGAAGTTCTGTAAGTCGACCCCTGCTCTCCCTCCTCATCAAGGCATGAACGTGCCCCCCTCACCCCCGCCTGAGACCTGCCAACCCCCTCCCCGAGCCAGCAGTACTGGCCCACCCTGGGGCCCCCAAATCCAGAGCTGGGAAGTAGCAAAAACTCCCTTCTGGGAGGTATTCTCTCAATGCCAGGTTTGGCCCCAAGCTCCCTAATGGGTTTTGGTTTTGTTTGGGGTAGGAAGACCCCAGCACCTATCTGCATTTTGGGCACCAAAAACCCCAGGGTCAGATTGGTTAAGAAAGTATGATACTTGGGTGCTTGGTTGGCTCATTTGGTGAAGCGATGCCTTCGGCTCAGGTCATGATCCTGGAGTCCCCGGATTGAGTCCCACATCAGGCTCCCAGCTCCACGGGGAGTCTGCTTCTCCCTCTGACCTTCTCCCCTCTCATGCTTTCTCTCACTCTCTCTCTCTCCCTCAAATAAATAAATAAAATCTTAAAAAAAAAAAGTATGATACTTTATTCAAGTGAAAAAGCTCTCGCTTTCTTCCTCCCCTCCCTAGCCCATGCGCTCTGTGCAGGCAGATTCCCTGTTTATGATCAGATGCCCAGGGCTAGGGACATAGTTGGTACCCAGTAAGTATCTACTGATTTGGAAATGCACAGGGCTAGGCCATTACTCACATAATTCCTGATAACCCATCTGGCCAGGCTTTGGCTCTCATTACCCCTGAGATCCTTGGGAAGGAGAAGAAACTTCGTTCCCCAGGCCCAGAGCCCCTCCCACTCTCGAGTACTGATCTGGGTAGTGCCAGCAGAGCTACAAGTCAAGACTCACACTCGAAACACTAGCTAGGCCCAGAACACTGGCACAGTGCCAGGCTCCCAGGAGACACTCAAAACGTGGTGGAAAAAAACACATCTCCATCCCAGGCCAAGAGAGAACCCCAGAGCCACCACGTGCATTCTCCTGGCTTCAAAATGGCCCTGACCAACCTCAACTCTTGCTGAAAATTCCCCAGTCTTTGGAGTGTCTACCAGTAAGCCCCAGTGTTCAACAGGCTGGTACACTGGAAGGGGCATTTTCCCCCAAATGAGCCACATCCTCTTTTGCCTGCAGATATCTGCCTGGTCTAGTCTGTCTCTCCAGAACACTATTCCTGTACCTCTATCCCTACTGCGTGTGGCTGATGTCACATGCTTCTACCTGCCTCCTGTTCCAGGAAGCATTCCCTGACCACCTCTGTCTGCTCATGGTAGGGCAGGAGCCTCTGGTGCCTCTCCTTCTTGAACCTTCAGTCCACAGTCGCTTGCCCCACTTCCTCTCTCTCCCTGGCACCCAGTGAGGTCAGACAACCCAGACAGGAGCAGGGGAGACAGGACAATGGTGGCACACCCAGAGACCTGCACTGCCCTGGAGGGAAGATAGGATGGCAAAGGGGTGGCAGGGAGTAGAGCTCCTGCAGCCATCAGGAACCAACTTCTTGAGGCCAGGAGTCCAGCTCCAGGCCCAGCCAGCTGACCTCGACACCCTCCCCTGGAATTGAGCACTAAGAGGAGAAGGCACAGGCTGAAGAGACAGCCCAGGGCAAGCAGATGACAGCCCCCACCTCCACCAGCACACTAAACTTTACAAATGCCTCCCCACCCCTCTCTGCCATCAGTCCAATCCACAAAGCTTGCCTGGCACCTGAAAGTGCCACACTGTGTGCTGCAGACCCAGAGTCGGGGACCACATGGAGGGATGGGGCAAGAGGACAAGTGACGCAAGCCAAGAGTGGTAACATGAAGAACGCTCATTATTCCTGAAGGTGCACGTGAGCCAGGCACTGTGCTGGGAGCCTGACACACAGCATCTCTTTGGCCCTCGCAATTGCCCTGTGGGGTTCGTATTGTCCCCGCTTTGTAGCAGAGAAAGCTTGGGCTTGGCAAGATTCAGTGGCTTCCCCAGAGTCTAAGGGAGGCCTTCTACCCTAGCTTAGCATATCTGTAGCAGAGGGAGCGACTCAATCCTACACTCCAACGTGGACATTTTCTGTAAGCCAGGCTGTGCTGTGCACTGGGGACACGGAGGTGACGCAGAATCAGAACATCCATGACGAACTCACAGGAATGGCTTTTCCCAGTCTCAGGACTTTCGGGCCATCAGGCCTCCCTCACTAGGTTAAGAGACAGCTGGCATTCCTGTGTGACAGAGGAAAACCTGGAGCTCAGAGGAGGAAGGACAGGCCTAGGCCACCCAGGACGGCAAGGTCCCAGGCCTCCTGACCTGGGTGCAGAGCACCTCCTTCCACAGAAGCTGGCTCCCACAGAACCTGGGGCTGGAGCCATGTTCCCAGAGCTGGTTCCCCGGGGTCTTCCTGTGTTGGCCCTGCCTTTTGGTGGGCAGGCCCTGACGGGTAAGGGCAAGGGAGGGAGGGGCCCAGGCAGAAGAGGAAGGTCTGGGATCCACTCTTGGCTCCTTACCTCGGGTAGGCGGCCCATTACTGAAAAGCAAGCTTCCAGGGGTGAGGGCACAGCGGTGTAGGGAAGGGGGGCCCCGTGGGGCTGTTCTGGCTTGTCCCTCTTCCAAGGCCTGACTCCACCAGTTGTTCCCAACCCCCAGCCCTGAAGAGTCTCCTTAAAATCCAGGAAGGTTGCTGACACCAGGTGTGGTGAAAGGGGCGCAGTTGGGGTCCCGAGTCCTCTGACAAAAGCCCAGCCTTAAGGCGAAATCCCAAGATGCCAAGAACTAAGGCAAAACTTCTAAGGTCCAAGCTTTGT